GGTCTTTCCAACTGGATCTAGTCAAGGAGCCTCTGGGGCCTTTAGAAAAGCCTCAAGGCACTCCTTCCCTTCCATGCTCAGAGGCACATCCCCTTGCCTCCCCATCAGCTTCTGCTGCTTTCTGCAAATCTAGGCAGGCAGAGGAGGGGAAAGCTTCAGTGCTTCACTTGTCTCCTCCAGTTGGGTTGTGTAGGGGTGGTTTCAGTTAGGAACAGTGACAGTAGGAGAGGTGATGGGGGCAGGTGTTTGGTTCCCCTGGTTGGTGCCTACTCTCAGGGGACTGGGAAGGGTGTGGAAATCCACCCTCAATCCATCTCAGCTGCTACAGCAGTCACCCTTTCCCTTGCCTGCAAGGCCCAAATGGAGCAGGCAGGAGTTTCTTTGTAGCTTCCCTGGCCCTGGAACAGCAGGGAAAGCAGGAGCAGCTGGCAGGGAGGAGAGGGGATGTGCCCCTAAGCACTGACAGGAAGAGGGGATTCTTACATACTTTGAGGTCTTTAAAAAAGTCCCCAGAGACTGGTGTGGTGTGTCCCTACTTATTGTGGGGGAGGAGGTTGGAAAGGGAGGTGCAGCCACCCCTGCAACAGGCATGGCTGTTCCTGCATCCTCCTTTGCGAAATCCTGAATCTGCCCATGTCTACATCTCTCCTCTTCATTGAATTTCATGTCACATTAATAGCAGCAAAAAAGTCAAGGGTCCAGCTGAACCTGGGCTAAGCACACCAGGTTTTCTAGCCAGTGCAACAAGGTAGCTAATATCACAGTCTGCTATTCTGTAAGGTCAACCTGAATGTTCAGGTAGCTGTTTATAACTCAGACATTCTCAGAGACCCTTATGCAGCGCACAACTCTGAATGTTTGATACTCCTGCCCTAGATTTGGTACTTATGGTTGGAATCAAATCAGCCAGGCCTTTATGGAAAAAAAAAAAGATGTCTAGATCACTAGGAAATAAACATAACAACTGCAAGTGTCAGCATGATTTCTTTCTCTCCTGGGAGAATTCACCCGAGTGCAATTATTCTGTACCCAAAGCATTAATTTAAAATTGCTTAATTGGTGCAAGTCTGGGAATAGGGATGTATTGATATCTTCAGGCGGTCTGCCCTAAATATCAGATATAAACCCTATACAAACCTCTGTCTATCAGACCATTTACATGGTACTATTGCTTCATCTTACAAGGAGGGACTCTTAACATTCAGTTGGAGAATTTCTTCCTTTCTTCCACAGAGTGGTTTGAATGCACTAGGTATGAACAGGGGGTTGGAGCAGATGACCTCCAGAGGTTCCTTCCAGATCTACGGTTTAATAATTCTATTAAATCTGTTCTAGGAATGATAGCCCGATTTTGTCACAAGCCTCATGATTTCAAACTTTATTTTTTGAAGTAATTGTGAAATGGAATTTTGTTGCATGTTCTTTTTATAGTAAAGAAAATGCCATTTCTTATAGCCTCTTCCTCTCTGTGTATTTTTATACCTAACCCTTTCTATATTTTTGAAAATGCCCAGAGAGCTAGAAGTACTACTTTGAACCCCGGGAGCTTTCTACTTGAAAACTTTTCTCTAATAAGTGTATCTCACCAAAATGATATGAGTTCAAGAAAGCTGCATTCTTAGCTAACATCAAAAGCAACAAATAAATCCAGTAATTTCCCTCCCCCCCAATTTCTAATGCAGACAAACTAGGTTAAATAATGTAATAAATTGCTATATTTTTCCTCAAATTGAAATATTTAATCCTGGGCTCTTACCCTGTGCATCCCAATGGTGACATGCATATTTCCATCATGTGTGCTTGTGGTCTAAAAGATCTGTATTTGTTTATTTCCTCTTATTATGAAAGAAGGAATATAAACGATTATTCTGGTTAAGGTAAGAAGAAAGTAATTCTAAGATCTGAGGTGTGATGAATCATATTACTTTCAATGACCATGTAAGACTGGTTAAATGGGATATATTTTACCAGAATACCATATGTACTTTCATACAACACATACCTATTTCCTCTCAAACAGCTCCCCAAAATAGGGGTATGTATATATGTAAATAGGGGAAGATGAGTTTTTGCCTAGGATAGAAGTACCCTGTTTTGACTTCTGCTCCACAGTGTAGTAGCTTTGATATTACTATTCAGGAAGCTGAGGGACTCAGTTGCCTTAATGGTCCATTGTTCTTTACTCCACATGGGTTAACAATCATCTCTACTTCTTGTCTTGATGTTCTACTAATTAAGATAACCTTTTTAAGGGCAATTTTGCTTTCTGCTAATTGCTCCTCCTTTGCCTGTTCTGCAGCCCTGGAAGCTCCTCAGCTCTTTTCAGAATCATAGATTGACCCATGGAGACAGATATTCATCAGCAGGCAGGGTTTTCAGATTTAGTTAAGTAGGAAAGAGAGTATGAGTCAACCAAAGATTAGGTCTGCCCCTGCTCTAAGCATCCTTAATTCTGGAAAAATCTTTTTTTTTTCTTCACTCTACCTTTCAAAAACAAAGTGTGTATTATGTTCCATGATACGTTGTATGAAAAAAAAAAATTGTAATTTATTTTTTAACTGCTGGTATTCTGGGCACTACTAGTGAAAACTACAATGTCACTGTCTGCTGATGTATATCCAATGTTATCTTGTGTTATATTTAGACTTTCAGCTCCTTAAAGCAGACAATTTCTTTGTTCTGTATCTGTAGTGCACCTGGCACTTGGTCCATGATTAGAGCTCCTTGGTGCTATGTAAGAATGATAACAGTAAAAATGGTAGTAACAATAGTAAAAATAATGGTAATGAGGATGACTAGATTGTGCCACAAGCATTAATGTTTGGTAGATGCAGTCCTTTGGCATGTGACTATCCTATTAAGTAGTTTCTCTCTATCTGGGAGTACTTCTGAATAACCTATAAATGACTGTTCAAAGATGAACGCATTACTCAGCATGTATAATAGTAACATATGTGATCCTATGGAAAAAAAAAATTAATTCTTTTACATCTTTATTCTGAAGGCTGAGATGTATGCAATGTTCTGATGATGCTTCAAACATACATTAAAATACAGTCTTACTTTCCTATATTAGTTCTTGATTGATTGATTTATGCTTTAGAATCATCTAGTTGTAACACTGATCTCGTATCCAATCTGCCAGTGACTAAGGAACTTCAGTGACTTTAAGACAGTGTTTCCACAGAGCTGTTGAGGCTACCATGGGTCAACCATCCTCTCCAACCTTCTTGCCCTAGGGTCACTAACAGTTAAAACATGATGTATAGGCTACTATACAACTATAAATGTGGTGGTTCTCAGCCTTTTTAGATTCAAGGTATCCCTTGGAAAATGACAACTCCTAGTTTTTACTAAGTTTTTTGACTTCAGAAAAATATTAGAATATTTTTTTCTGTGGCAAAGAACTCGGAAAGATCACAACATGTCAGAATGATTTTAACATTATGAATTCCTATTTCAAAACTCTGGTTTTATCTTGTGAATCATGTTTGCACACTGAAATCTGCTAACATTGTGGGGTACTCTGCAGCACTCTTGAAAGGATTTCAGGACACCCCAGAGTGCCACAGCACCTTGACTGAGAATCACTGTTTTCGTGATAAGTTTTATGAAACTGCAGATATGGCCAAACATACATGGACAAAGATAAATGTTATCCATTTTAAAAGAGAAAGGGAAGCTGCTGGTTGAAGGCATGCAGCAGCTGCTGTGATCTAAAAGTTATGTCTGCATGAGCCTGTAGTGGTGTAAGTTAGCTGAATTGACCTATCTGGGTTGCAGAATGAAACTTGAGTAAAGCAGGAGCAGTTTTCCTACACTTTGGGTGAATCTATATGTGTAGTTAATGTGAAGAAATAAATTCCATTGCTTATTGCACTGGAGCTTATTGATCCTGGGTGCACCGTTTGATTGCGCACCCAGGACAGCAGCTGGGTGGAAGCACTCTCAGCTGGCAGGCACAACTGCAGAGGGGCTGGTTGGGGTATGCGGGTCTTTCAGTGAGAGGTTAGCTGGCAGGCAGCCCCTAAACTGAAGTACCCTCATGCCCCAGCCAGCTGTGTCAGCATCATTGTGTGATGCCATGGAGTAAAACAACTCTGCATCAGGATAGTACTTGTTTTCACAAGTACTATCCTGCTGCAGAGTTTATTAGTTTATTCCAGCCTAACAGTCCTGCACCTGTAGATACTGAGACATTTACTGTGGACTTAATTAGTCTACTCAGAAGTAAACATGTCCTTTTATTTCGAGTCCCATGCAGACATAACAATTACATTATAGCAACCTGTTTTGATATCCTTTGGTAGCAATACAATTGTTATGCCTGTCTATACCTTAAGTCATGAGTTTGAATTCCTTAAGACACATGGATTTTGTGGGTGACATATTTTATCGGAGACCAAATGCATGGTTTGGATAAAGTTAGACATACTTAGGAATGCAAAGCATTCTTCATCAGGTCTGAATTCCTCCAATTATAGGCAAAAATCCTGAAATACTTCAAAAGAAGTTAATTTCAAAGATCTGATTAATTTCAAAGATCTAGTTAATTTCAATGAGTTCATTTAAAATACCTGGTTAATTTCACTTCCTGAAACTCAGGCCCCTTTCCAGTTATCACAATGTGAAACAATCCCTAATAGTAGATACACTAAAAGCTGCTAATTCAATTTGGAAAATAGTGCTTTGGAATTGTGATAGGCACAGCATCTTGGGCTACAATGGGCCTTTCTTCTGCTCTGCCTGCAGAAAAAAGGTCAATGTCTGAACTGCATGTGGAAAACTAAAAAGGAAAGAGGACAGAAATATAATTGGCTTTATGCAAGAAGGAAACCAATAGTGAAGGAAAAATGAGATGTGCTATCAACAAAGAGAGGAAAGTAAAAAAAAAAAAAAAATTATGTCCTTGTAAGTATCTTTTTAACCATATTGATTCTGTTCATTACTTTTTTTTTGCTTTTTTTTTTTTTTATCCCAGCAATTAACAAGCTAAACCAATGGCTGAGGAAAATCACACTTCAGTAAAAAGGTTTATCCTCATTGGATTAACAAATCATCCAGAGTTGCAGCTCCCACTCTTTATTACCTTTTTACTAGTCTATTTTATCACCCTTCTGGGGAATCTTGGAATTATAATAATAATAAAGACTGACCCACAACTGCACACTCCTATGTACTTCTTTCTCAGCAACTTGTCCTTCCTGGATGCCTGCTATTCTTCAACCATTACTCCCAACATGCTGGCCAATTTCATTGCAGAGAGGAAAGACATTTCCTATAGTGGATGCATCACACAATATGGATTCTTTGCTGTTTTTGCTACCACTGAGATGTTCCTCTTGGCTGCGATGGCATACGATCGCTACATGGCCATCTCTAACCCACTGCTCTACACTGTCACTATGACTAAGAAGGTTTGTGTAATGCTTGTTGTGGGATCATATCTCTGGGGCTTTGTGAATTCACTGATACACACATGCAGTTTGCTGAGATTGTCTTTCTGTGGTTCTAATATCATCAATCATTTTTTTCTGTGATCTCACTCCTCTCCTAAATCTCTCCTGCAGTAATATCTATATGAATGTGATGTTGGTTTTCATTTTTGGCACTTTTTTTGAAATAAGCACATTCCTCATCATAATTGTTTCATACATTCTCATCATCACTGCTGTGCTGAGAATACACTCTAAGGAGGGCAGGCACAAAGCCTTCTCCACCTGTGCCTCCCACTTGACAGCTGTCATTATATTTCATGGCACAATTCTTTTCATGTATTTCCATCCCAGTTCCAGTTACTCACTGGATACAGATAAAATGGCTTCAGTGTTTTACACTGTGATGATCCCCATGTTGAACCCCTTGATCTACAGCCTTAGGAACAAGGATGTGAAATGTGCAGTAAAGAAAGTGTTTGGTAGAAAAATATTTATTCAGTAAATGCATAGCATAATATATTGCTGTGTGACTGATTAGGGCAACTGGAGACAGGAATTACCATTTGTAAGGAAAATAAAGCTATGAGTATTGAACTTGAGATATATACATTTGTTAGTGTTTACTGAAATATGTACAATATGGAAAAAGTGAGGGAAGGTATAGATGTTGGCAAGTTACTAACAGTCTAATAGATGCTTTAGTATCCTTTTATATAATTGCTTGACTTTAAGTAGCTGTTTTAAGTCCCTTTGAGGTCAGAATTTCACATATTTGGGTTTCACTTATTTCCAGTGCATTTCATTGTTAACAGTAATTGGGCATATTTAATTTAGTACTTGTATAGTCAAGTACTAAATAAATGCACAGGAACTGGAGTTATTGCACAGTAGTGCCGGTGAATGCCTTTAGTGACACGAAGAGCGCATTGGCCTAATAATGCTGTGCAGTAGCACATCACAGCCCAGACTGTGCTAATACACTACTGTGCAATACTGTTAGGCTACTGAGTAGCAGCATCACTAAAAAGGCATTTACTGGTGCTACTGTACAGTAACTCTGGTTACTCCACATTAATGAATGTGTAGATGCACCCAGTGTAACTCAAATAGCATTGCAAATTAAAAATAAGTATTCCGAAGATCAAGAATCAAAAGCCTAAAGAATACCAGGTGATACATTTGAATGCACCTTTGAAAAACATCAAACAGGGGTTCGTGTGTGTGTGTGTGTGTAAGAGAGAGAGAGAGATTCTATGTCTTACTTACCATTATTTAAATAGCGGTTAGTAATAGACTAGGACATATATGGGATAGTTTGGATAGGGATGATCCTATCTCAGGCAAGGGGTTGGACTAGATGACCTCTAGAGGTCCCTCCTTTCCACCTGACATTTCTATGATTCTATGAAAGGAATTTAGGACCCTTATGCTCAAAGAAGAGACTTAAGAGACATCAAAGAGCAATTCAGGTTTAAGCACATGGACCCTCCTCTCTTCAGAGAACAGGGAACAGTAGATGACTCCCAGTGCTGATTAAGATACCAGAGACACTCAGAGATAGCCAATAGGAAATGTTAAGGCATAGGGATGTGTCAGACTATCTACCCCTCTCAAAAAGTGAGGAACCTGACTAAAGCTATGTCTTAGGTACCTCCATTATCTTCCAATCCAAAACACCTATTCCCACTTCTAAAAAAGGTGAGGCAGAGTGGTGACCATTAGGGCTGTGCAAAATGGCACCATTCCATTTCGCCTTGAGTTTCAAGGCTTGGAGGGAACAGTGTTTCATATCGAATTTAATTTTGATTTGAAACAGGTGTTTCATTTTGCTTCATCGAAACAGTAAGGCTGTTTTGACTCTGTTTCGATGTTTCACTAGATCGGCGGGGGATGGGAAGTCAGCCCAGCTGGGCTGACTTCCCATCCCCCGCCGATAGTGAAACATTGAAACAGCATTAAAACAGCCTTACTGTTTTGATGAAACAAAATGGAACAGTGTGATCTAGCGTGAGGGATGGGGAGTCATTTCAGGTGGACTGACTTCCCATCTCCAGCGCTATGGTCGAAACGTTTTGACTTCTGAAATGTTTCAACTAGCCTCATTTAGTTTTGAGGCCATTTTGACACCCTTTGTTTCATTTTGATGTTGCTGTTTTGACCTCAAAATGAGTCAAAACAGTGTCAAAATGAAACGCCGGTGACATTTCGTGCAGCCCTAGTGACCATTTGCCCAGTGGCTTATTCATTAGAACATTTGTTCAGTAATAGTTAGACAGCTTGGGCTTTTTTACAAATGCTTTGGGATGTGGCGCTGGGTGCTTTAATTAACAAGCTGTGTTTACTAAAAGCACCCAAGCGTCACATGCATCAGCCTTGCCACATGTCCCCATGCTGAAAAAATGGCGGTGGGGTGTTTTGAACTATAGCTGATTGAACATGTTTTATTTCAAAGTGTCCCACCACCATTTTTCAGCACAGGGGAGCATAGGGACACTACTACACGTGACACAGAAGGCTGCTGGAGCGCACAAATTTCTGTGCTCCAGCAGACTTGGATAATAAAGCCTGCTCTGAAGTACTGGATTTCCAGTGCATCACAGCAGGCTCCCCACATGTCTATAGGAGCCCCTTATGCATATTAAATTTGACAGACATTGGTTAACGATCAACTATAATCAATAGGACTCTTACCTACCTGGTAACTTAGTTTTAATAGGAGCACCCTCCCGCACCTTATTTATTTTTTATCTTTATAATTAACCATGGTATTGGTAAATAGATGTAAGGTTTAAACAACCCTCAGGGTGACTAAAGTTAAAAAGCCAGGTCTCCTTCTTGTAACAGGGTACCCTTTCTCCTGTTAGTTGTGGGCAGTAAGAACAGGGTAGCAGAAAGTGGGCTATCAGCAAAGAACTACAGAACTCCCCATTATGTGGGCAGAGAAAGTACAACTTGCAGGAAGATCAACTTCAATGGACAACAGATGCAAGTACAACAGCTAAGTGGACTGCTGCCAGACCCAGGTTGCAGGCAGTATAAAACACTGCGCTGCTGACTAGGCTTTTAATAGCACCTGGGCCTTGATAACAGCAAGCCAGGTTGGCTGACCCAAAGAGGGAGGAGAAAAAGCTGTATAAGCCTGAGCCTGGTGACCAAGGCTCAGACTGGCTCAGATCTTCACAATAAAAGGAGCTTTATAGGAGCTATATGTAGGGATATAAATGTCATGTTTTGTTTCTGTTACTGTTTGGTGTTGGTGTTAACCCATGAGGTTTGGGGTGGCTTAAAGAGGGCGCCTGAGGGAGGTTGCAATCTATTGTAAAAGTTAAACTACAGATTTTTTTTTAGATGAAAAATGAGCTTTTTCTTGGAAAAGAAGTAGTCAAACATTCATTCTTTGGGTGTTATTTTATATTTTTTGCCTAAAAAAAATGAAAATTGAAGAGGAATATAATAAAATAATGTTGAACTTAAATCAGCATTTTGCAGTGGTTTGATAGATTATTTAAAACAAATAAAATATTTTTTTAATTGGTGAAGATCATTCATAATTAAAAATACTGTCTCCCCCCTCCCCCACTTGAATACTTTTTGGGGGGGAGGGGAACAGTAAAAATGGTCATTTCTTTAAAAAAAAAAAAAAGAATGGAAAATACTTATCATTTTTCTGGTAAAATCTAGTTCATACTATTGTTCTAGAACCGTCGAATCAAAGGTACTGTATGCATGTAGAGCCACTGAATGATAACATCCTCTGGAGGGCAGGGAATGCAGCAGGGGAGCTAATTATACTGAGTGTAGGCTGGAGTATTACAGTTTACACTTTTGAGAAGACATGCACTGTTCCCTCTCTCTTTCCAGAAACAAATCAAAGTACCATCCTTACTTTAATAATAAAGGTGACCCTGAATATAAGATCCCCAATAATAAGATTCTATATATGGAAAATGTATAGATTTGTTATAATTTTCCAGGTATAGAATATACCTATTGGAGGCTTGTCTTGAATGTAGCCCCCTCCCTCCCCCGC